CGAATATTTGTGAGGGCAATTAGCCACTCTATTTTTCCATTGCTGTTTATTCTATGATATTTGGTGGAGCTGAGTCTGCTGTTAACCTCAGTTAGCAAGAGCTTTGTCGTAGCGCAGGTGACCACGTTGATTGTCCAATTTTCAGCATATGTATCAACAGACGCATGCCACTGTTCTTCTAATTAACTAACCGCAATGCTCATTAACTCCTTGGAATCACATTCTTCCGGTCGTTAATCATCGGCGGCTTTCTTCAAGTTGTTGTTTACAGTTTTGCAACTCTAAAAATCACAACATCGTTCTTCGCTCTTTCGTTGACAGTAGTCATTAGAGTGTAAACGCCACAACCATGATTTGGAGGCAGTGGCGTACACATTTCGAACAATGATTAGCGCTCGGCCATTGTTCGGAGCAAAAGAGATATGTTTATACAACTGAGGGATGTTGTTCGGTAGTACATCTGGCGAGGGAATTTCTTACTCATTTTCCACACGCTTCTTGCCTCGATCCTCAAAGACCGCCATTCTTGCGCAGACACTCGGTAAATATTATGCCAACTGGTAAGGTTCTCATGTCGTCGCCGTCACCGAGTGCGGCATTAGTAATTGAGCATGGCAAGGGAGAACGAACGACTCGCCTCAAGTATCCTAAATCCCATAAGGCCGGTCCGTCGTCGACCTAATCTGTTCCGTCGGTGCGCTAAATCAACGATGGACGTAAACGTGGAACTTCCGCGTGTCCGTGTTTAACAGCGGCCAGGGTTCTCAGCCGTCGAGCCGGTTGAAGAGCGTTAAGCAGCTTACAGGGCAATTACCGCAGTAAATGTTTCTTTGATTGATTGGTAGGCAGAAATGCTACAATTTTTTGTACAAGAGGCGGCAATGTAATTAGCGACAGCTAAAAACGGTCCCGATGTCGGTTTGGCTTTCGGCGAGCGACAGACGCTGACCGATATCCGTGGAATCAGTTTGAGGAATGTCGTGCACGTGTGAATTACGAAAGTGTGTTATTCGGTCGACCCAGTCTCTGGCACG